ATTCTTGACCTAAATTTTGAGATCCATCCACCTGTGTCCTTGTTTCTTTTATTTTAAGACATTTGTGCGTACACCGTGGTGCGCTTGCAACACCGATCTATAATTTACTTAATTCCCATCAACACTTTCCGTGGCTTGCGCAAAGGACAGCAGAAAATAACGCTATGATGAAACCGGGCCCTGTTTCACATCTCTGGCAACTAATCTAAATACGCTTTACACAAACTTAACCTTAATAGCCAAATTGGGCCAGCTTCACATCCAATCGGAGATAGAAAACCGTAGGAAATTTATAGCATTAATACGAATACAATAAAATTTGAAACCTGTGGTCCTCTAACACACCCAATGTCATGATTTTTTAACGTTTGCAAGTGATTGTAAAAACTACTCCACTTTACACTAAATATTTTCTTTTAAATGGTAAAATAAGAGTCAGAGTATTTCAAACTGTAGATGCAGTTTGATTTATTGTTGTTTGCTTTCAAACTAGTTAGTAACTGAAACACGCTGTTTGGGTGACACAGGAGAGGAACTCATTATAAGCGGCGACTTCAAACGAGTAAGTCTTGATAATGGATGGTCATTGAGCGCCCACGGGTCGGCGATGATTTTATAACGTTGCAATACGTTCAAGCGAGTAATTGACGACGGGATACGCAAGCGCAATTGAAAACGGCGCCTTGGAAAGTGCCGGATTGGAAAAAAACAACTACGGGAAATGAGCAAAGATGGTGTTTTAAAATACTTACGCGATATTGTAATTGTCCTGCAAAATGATTATGGATTTCTTTTGAATTAATATAATTTAGATTCACATTAAGTAGGGCTTGTCAACCAAGTTTTTCTTTCTCGAATCACCATTTTAAAGGTGTTTCAGGGTCACTAAAGAGGAGCAAAATAATATTTTTGGAAATAATCGTTGGTATAACGCTATTGTTTAAGCGACTATTTCTCATTTTAACAGATTAGTTATAAGGCACAGGGAGAATTAATGGGCTAATGGCAATGGCTATGCAAATACCTAAAATGATATTAGGTGTATGTTGTAAGATTAAAAAATATATATTGTGAAACAAAAATACAGAGCATCCATGGCATAGGTATATGGCAATATAATGCAGCATGGAACTGTAGTCGAAATTATGAGTCATCAATGATTTAACAGTGATACAATTTAGGATAACATACGAATATGAATGAATTAAATTAAATAATGAAAAATTAGATTTAGTAGACTCGACTACATTCTTGGGTATAACGATAGACTCAAAACTGCAATGGAGTCATCACATTACGCTTTTGGCTGGTAAACTTAGTTTAGCAGCTTATGCCATAAGAAAGATAAGACAACTTACTGATATAGATACTGCCAGGACTGTATATTTTAGTTACTTTCATAGTATCTTATCATACGGCATTTTACTCTGGGGAACAGCAGCTGATATTGAAAGTATATTCATTTTACAAAAAAGAGCTGTGAGATCTATTTATCAATTGAGTAGCCGAACATCTCTTAGAGAAAAATTTAAAGAAATTGGAATTTTGACTGTTGCTTCTCAATTCATTTACAATTGCATACTCCTCGTTAAAAATAATATCAATTTGTATATCAAACACAGTAACGTGCACAATTTTAACACAAGGTATAGAAACAAGCTTGCATTGCCACCCTACAGGTTACAGAAGGTTTACCGATCTTTTATGTATGGGTCAAGGTATACATTTTTACAATAAAATTCCTGATGCTGTTCTTGAGTTACCCATAAATGAGTTCAAATGTCACATTAAAAGTTGTTTACTTAAGAAAGGCTATTATACTATTAAAGAATACTTGAATGACAAAACTGCATGGCTGTAACTGCAAAATTGTTTTGTATTTGTTTGCAGTGTCGTACAGATAAATTACCTTAAATCTAAGTAACTATTTTGCAGTTTGGTTTGAGTGGTTATGGGTAGTCATGCTCTCTTAAAAATCTTTTTCGTTGCGTTCGCTAAAATATGGTTGAGCGAAGCGATGGCTGGTTCATGCGTCATGCTCGTGAACGGGTGCTGCCAGCGGAGATGAGTCTGCTCTATACTACTTTATTATTATTATAATGATAATTAATCATTTAATTTAAATTTTATTTGTAATTGTATTTATACTGTATGGCACAGCAATCAAAATCAAAATTTAGGTGAACATTTATTATTTCTGAGATAAAGATTTAATGGTGGTGTGGATTCTGGCATGGTTCTCTAGACCTGAACTTTGGTTTTGCAGCGGTGTATCCTTGTCATTCTCTATACAGAGTGAAGGGGGGGCACTGATGTTGGGTTTGGTTTTGGGTTTGGAGAGTAGTAGCAGAGTCGAAACTAGTGTTTAGGTAATCACATGCATGTGTCCTACAGTTGTGTTTATAGTTTTTTATAGTAATGTACACTGGTTCTTAATTTTTTTTTCCCTATTTTGCTATCTAGTATCCATATGTGGTTATGAGTAGTCATGCTCTCTTAAAAATCTCTTCGGCGGTGTCGTGTGAGGCGGGTCGTTACGTTCCCTAAAAAATGGTTGAGCGAAGCGATGGCTGGTTCATGCGTCATGCTCGTGAACGGGTGCTGCCACCGGAGATGAGTCTGCTCTTGCTACATTGGGTACTATTAATCGTTGTATTTAACTTTAATGGTACATTTGTTTTTATGCCTAAACAGTAGGACACGGCATTCCTAAACTCTTTTTATTTTTAAATCTGTTTTTTATATTTTTTATTTTATTGTCATAATTGTTTTATCATTTACATTTGTAATGGAAAGTGACTTCATGAGTTATCTCATATTGAAGTCATTTTTCAAATTGACGACTCTGTAAATACTACAGGGAGAAAAAAACAGCCCTTGCTGAGTTTCTTACCGGTTCTTCTCAGTACAAGGTCTCCCGCCGTAGATTTGCGAACCGATGGCGTAGCTTTTCGACATTCACAAGTGCTTGTAACAGCCTAGACTGAATAAACGATATTGAATTTTTTGAATTTTTATGTTTTGAAAGTTAATTTTTTCTTGAGATTTCAAAGTCGCCCGTACTTCATCGTGTCTGATTTTTTTTACATGTGACACTCTTGTATTATATAAATATAGAATGACGTGTCCTAGAGATGATTCAAGGCCAAGGCGAAAAGATGAATTCAACGATTTTCTGATAATTCGAAGTTTTATGAAATTATTGAATATCTGAAAAGTTGTGATGCAGATTATTTATCAAAATAACATTACTCCGATGATTTGAATATGTTAAAACATTCCTTTTCCTTTTGTTAGTATATTTATGCTTGAAAGTAAGCCGTGTCTGTCAAAAACGTTTAATATTTTTACTGCGCTTAGTGTTATTATGACCTATATGAATGTTGTAATGAAGTCAATGGGTTAATTGCTGGATCAAATCTTCCTGGAATAAGATGAGATCACTAGGGACTTGCAAGTCTGTTGTCGGTATCTTCCACGCTGGATTCGGTACGAAAGAATAACATAAACAAATAAATTAATTCATAGCATAAATCATATCAATCATAGCATTCATACGGCGAAAAAAGGGATTTTACAGGAACATAAGCTTAATAGACATTGCAAAATATTCAAAGATAATGACGACTCGGGACCTTATTATTTGTGAGCACTTCATTCAATTAGATCGCGAGATACGGACAAAGGACCTTTACGTTGTATTTACTTACCGACTGTTGTTTAATGAATCAAATCAATCTGGTTACTAAAAGTCTATAAAAGGATTGGATTGTCGGGAATTTTACACGCGGTGTCTGAAAAGGATGCGAAACTCAAGAATAATACAAAAAAATCGGTGAATCAACCATCTTTTACCCTTTTTAAGTATTTAATTGAATAATTAGTGTGCATAAAGTATAAGAAACAATTACTATAGATCATAAATTCTTTTTATCAATGTGAAGAGAATAAACATTAGTTTTTATAATAAAATAAAACTAAAGAATGTACAGCATTTATTTAACGTCAGATTTTTTCGATATTTGCAACAGTTTCTAGCACTCGCAAGCTTAGTAACCGCAAAGTTACGATATATACTTTGCCAAGATATTGCTCTCATATTTATTGCAAAATATAATTAGCTTAATATGCATTTTCTTCTATGTGTAGTAATCAGCTACAGTATTATGTATAAAAAAAGGAGTTGCATTTGCTTGACTACAATTTTTTAACATACCAAATTTCATATAGAGCATAGCAGATCAGCCACCAGTCGGTTTGTCAAATTTCATAATACTTAGTGGAACACTTCATAGGTAATTCGATAATGAAATTATAACAAATTATGTAAATTGTTATTTTATTTAACTTTTAGAAATCCTGGTAAATTGTTCCGCTCCATCTGCTGTATTAACAATTTCGTAATAATAATAATATTTGCAACACTCACACCAATTAGCCTAGCCCCAAAGTAAGCACTGTAAGGCTTGTGTTATGGAATACTAGGGTACTTAATTGAGTATATTTATATGGAAATACATATTGAACATCCTGGACGTGGCTGGAGTACAAATGCTCGTAATCATCACACAAACATCTGCCCCCATTGGGACTTGAACCCGGAACCTCTCGAGTAGGCGACACCTTGAAACCCGGCGTTCATACCACTCGGCCACGGAGGTCGTCAAAGATCACGAGGCCACGAGGTTCGTGTTGGAAGAATTCAGCCTTGTAATATGCTGTATCTATTTAAGTACTTCGCGTTTTGATCACCTGCATTGTTTAAGTCCTATTAGAGTTTGAAAGTTAGACGTGATAAAAACGTGAAATATATTCGAAATCCGTTGATTTATCAGCTCCGAAAAAATATGTGTATTACGTTGCCGAGATAAGGATGAATTTGCTATGTAACTAATTGTTTCTGAAATTCGCTTCCATGCGCTTTGACTCTGCGCTAACAGGAATTGACCATTAGAAACACACACACTTTCATATTTAAAATAATAATTTCACTTTTCCAGGTACTGGCACATTTGGTCGAGTGTGCCTATGTAGAGACAAGGCGGCAGAAGAGTACCTCGCCATGAAGATCCTTTCAATGGCAGATGTGATCCGCTTAAAACAGGTCGACCACGTCATGAACGAGAAGAACATACTGGCAGAAATCAACCACCCGTTCATCGTCAATTTGTGAGTTGTTCTTTTATTTTGACGAACGGTGCGAGTGATATGTACACCGGGTTTCAAGGTGTTGTCTACTCAGAGATCCCGGGTTCAAATCCTGGTTGGGAAAATGTTGTTTGATTAATACGAGCATTTGAACTTAAGTCATGGACGTTTATATATATTTCTATATATAAATACTTATATATATGTATCATGTTTTCTATGCGTTACTCTCCTGGTATCCCATAACATAAAGCCTTACAGTGCTTACTTTGTGATTAGGCCAATTGGCGTGAGTGTTGGAAATATTTATTGATGTGTAACATCTTTCTTCTCACTTTCCTGCAATTTGTGGGAGTGATTTCGTGAAATGGGACGGAAATGTGTTGATTTTAGAACATAATGTTCAAATGGCTTATTCCTTTTTTTACTAATATAAGGTGAGGTTACAAATGTTACACGACTACTGTAAGGCTCGCTTCGCTCGTTTTCATTATATTTTTTTTAACAAATGCTTAAAAATAAAAATGTGTCTGTTAAATAACTGCTAGATTTAAAAGTTTAAACAACATTTTTAGGAGAATATAATCCAATCGGTCCGTGCTTCAGATAGGATCCTGTCTGAAAAAAGTCTAGGTCTAGTAAAAAATACTTTAGATTTCCACTTTTATTCTTAGCGTCATTTATCGGATAAAAATACAGAATTTTTTAAAAGATCACTGACCGCTGGTTTATAAAGCGCGAGTCAGACTCGCTTAAGGAGAGTTCCGTACCACCGTGCAAGGTACAATTAACTTTTAATCTATAATTAATTATGAAATACAGTGATTGTTAAGGTTGGGTAAGAAACATCAAAATAATCGGGTATATTTAGTAGCAGCCCCGTTCATTTTTGAATACAGTAATGATTTTTTTTAAACAAATATATATACTGTAAAAATCTCGTGAGATGCTACAGCCCGCTATCGAACGAATGGGCTTAATAGCAATACCAAAATAACTAAGTATGTCCTATATAAGAATTTAATACATACTACGTTGTAACATCTAAGACTCACTTACCTAATACTTTATATAAAATAAGCACGTGGATATCAGGTACAAGACTATAAGAAGCACACGACACGAAATATATTTTAAAATTATATTTTTGGAGTAAACGTAAGGCGCAGCGCCCACCTAAGTAATGTGACGTGAGAGCTGATCAATGATCACGCTGGACGTGCAAATTGTTATTTGATCTCCATTTGACTCGCCTTAACATTCATACTACCATAGCAATCATGTGGTGTAGCGTTCTAAGAGCCTACTGTATTAAAAATGAACACACAAGTTTCCTGATACATATTTGTTGGTTTTGTAATAAACACAATGCCACTAACGAATTGAAGAACTAGATCTTGGTTGGAGCGAGCCGGGAGAATTAACGCCGTAGACAGGTGATTGCCAACTTTCTATTTTTCAAAATTGAATTTAAAAATATTAAATTAAACTTTTAAATTTAAAAATAAGCAATTGACATTAGTATTACAAGTAACTGTAAGCAAATGTTTGAACGATATAAGCTTTACATCGTTCATCGTTCAAACGAATAGATATAATGCCTCTTGTATAATTATGCAACCTGCTCCTTCTGATAGCTGAAGTTTATAAAATGTCTTCATTCAACCTGAATGCATAATACTAGTCTTTTGCTTCCATTCCATGATTCCACCCGTTAAAGATTTCTTTAGGTGTAGAGAAAAATAGATGTAAAAAGTCCATAACGATTTAATAACATTAAAAAAAAAATGTTATGGTACTACACAATACAGCACAATTCGCAGATTACTTTGGCTCGGTTTATGAGCGACCTTCCTTGTCTCCACCGTGTGAACCTTTGAATTTGCCAGATTATCTCTATATATTACATCCTTTTATAATAAGAACCCAAGATACATTAAATAAAATTAAACAGCTAGATGGACGTAAAGGGGCGGGTCCTGATGGAATACCCCCCAAATTTATTAAAGAATGCTACCCGTTGACGATATTATTCAATAAGTCTATAAAATCTGGCACATTTCCTACTGGATGGAAGACAGCACATATCATTCCATTTTTCAAATCTGGTGACAGGACAGCTTGTGCAAACTATCGCCAAATCAGCATTCTTTCATGCATAACAAAATTGTTTGAGTCTTTAGTTTACGATAATATCTATAATCATTTAAGTAACCATATTTCAACCAAACAACACGGTTTTGTAAGAAAAAGATCTACTCTTAGTAACTTATTAGAATTCAAAAATTATCTTTGTCGCTCATTTGCCTCAAGGGGTCAAGTAGATGCTATATATTTAGATTTTAGTAAAGGTTTTGACAAGGTTGATCATACCATATTATTTTCCAAACTTTCTTCCTACGGTATTCATGGAAATCTGCTGAGATGGTTAATATCATACTTAGAAAACAGAAGTCAGCTAGTCATTGTAAGGGGTTTTGCTTCCCGTTCCATACCTATCTTCTCGGGCGTCCCACAGGGTTCACATCTAGGGCCATTATTGTTCGTTGTCTTTATCAATGATTTGATAGGCCGTATTTCATGTCCTGCGGTCTTGTATGCGGACGACCGAAAAATCTTCGTAGATGTGGGAAGAGAAGATCGGTGGCGAGTACTTCAAAATGACCTCCAAATAATATCAGACTGGTGTTCAGCTAATAACATGAAGTTAAATGTCGAAAAATGTTGTGTCATATCTTTTACCCCTAAGAAATTTAGATTTTACCATTCATATCACATAAATGGTAAATTGTTAAACAGAAGAGATACAGTGAAAGATCTAAGTATTTTGTTCGATTCATTTCGCCCTCATTACGCATACATCACTAAAAAAGTCACAAGATTTTGGGCTTCATAATGAGGTCGACCAAAGATTTCAAAAATCCGAAAAGCATATTCACGTTATTTTTTGGGCTTGGTAGAAGTGTTTTGGAATACTGCTGTCCAGTCTGGTCTCCTTACTATACCATACATGTCATTAATATTGAAAGGATTCAAAAACGATGCTTACGATTCCTCACTCGCAAATTCAATTTTGGTCGATCGCTCAGTGACTACAATGCTAGACTCTCCACATTTGAAATGATACCTTTGTATGCCCGTCGTGAAAGGTATGACTTATTATTGCCTCATAGATTGTTGCATTCAGCTATAGATGCACCAAATTTACTTGAATTGCTTAACATTAATATCAGGTATAGATGCCGTTTTCCTAATACCTTTTCAATTCAAGTATATAAGAATAATACATCCTTTTATAACCCAGTGGTAAGAATGTGTCGGACATATAATGAATATGCCCGTGGCAACAGGGGCATGGACATATTTAATGGAAGGTTTTCACAGTACAAACGAGTTGTGACCAATATTATTAAAGCCAAATGGTCCTCAGATAGCAATTAAAACTACATTATTAAGTAAAAGTATATTTTTTAAGTTAAGATTAAGCTTTGCCTTCAATTATATAAATTACATATTATGTACTGTTCAATATTAATCATGTTGTGTACACGTAAAAAGGAGTACTGTCTAGATTACTTCAACTATATTTTTTTGTTAAACATGTATTGACTGTATTCTGTTAGTGTACCTATAATAAATAAATAAATAAAATACACGGTACAGTGATTCACGATAAATATATTTTATATGCACTAAAAAAATGTTTATGACACATATAGATACGGACTGCAGTCACTACGACCCAAACTGTATGTGATTTTCCAAGATCTTGTTTCATCCTTATAAGAAGCTTAAATATTCCAGCACTAGAGACAAAATAAGATATTACCTCGAAGTCATGTATCTCTTTCATGTTTTTACTATTCAAAGAATGTATCCAGTAGACTTACACAAAAAACGACGACGTCGCGTCGTGCTACGATGCGACTATCGTATCGTAGAAATCTACGATAAGCAAGATAACAATTCATGACATGACATCGCGACGTGCCACTACGACATAAATTCGCGTCCAAAGTGAGCGCGGCCTTATTCTCTACAGCAGTTCCAACTTCAGTAAAGTCAAAAAATACTTATAAAATAATAATAAATTAACCAAAATTTATTGATACACTATAAATCAAATATTACCAAGCAAACCACCAATCGTTACATCGTTCCATAAATAGGTACTAATCTCGAACTCTGATCTTGAAACGTGGACTGTAGTAGAAACGTTCTCATGAACCTTTTAATAGAAACAACCAATTAAACTCAAGATACTATACATAAGTCATGAACAGCAATAACGAATGCGTGTTGCTTAGCAATCAGTCATTCTTGAGATCAGCAGTCGGTTATTTGGGCGGGCGGCGGCGGTCGTGTTGATGCGACTCGAGACGTGATGGTAATAAATGTGCATGGTGCAGGCGACGCGCGCCAATTTACGGACGACAAGCAGGCAGCCTGCCAATGTTGTACGCCTCTATTTCGGAGTCTTCATACGTACTGCGTATGACGTGCTCATGGAAATTGAAAACGAAAAGAACGTGTCTCGTTAGATCTCGACAGAAGGAAGAATATAGGTAGAATGCGATCCAAATGACGATTTCCCGCGCAGTGTATAGAGTCTAACTAAACAGAGTGAAACGTGCATTTTTGTTGCTGTTCAACATTTATTTAGATATGTTTACTAAGTTAAATAGATATTTAATATTGCCACAATAGTGTGGTTATGAGAGAATTATTCATACCACAATATGTTTAAATATATTTAATACCTATGTCACAGTATTCTTTTTATTACTAATTGATCCCTCTTACTTTATGTCGCAAGATGGTGTCTGGCTGAATCGAGAAAAAATATTGAATTTCTGTATCTCTTAAATAAGTTTCGCAAATCAAATATACACTACGTGTCTAACTTTTTTCTTTGATTCCAAAGAAATCATGATAAATGGAAAAAAACAATCTAATTTTATCTAATTTCGGATACGTCGATTAACGACACTATTTTCAGCATGTACTTATTTAAACTCAGTAGAGTGATAAATTACCAAGACCTCTGAAAACGGAATCAAGGTTTTATGTGTATTTTTAGTAGATGCATTCAGTTAGAAGATCATTAGTAAACCAAAGACGTTAAAGCGAAAATAATACGGATTAACAAGTGACGTCGACTGTTCTGGCAGAGTTGCTATGTTACATTTGAAACATAGCAACTCTATGTTACAAATTCAAAATAAGTATGATCGTTGAATAGTAATTTCTGTCCTGCGATTTATTCTGCATGAAGTATGGAATTGTTATCCCTGGGTAACCCCTTAGTATTGTTTTCGAACAACAAAAAAAACATACCGTTGCCAATGCCAAGTGGGTGTGGAGCTGTGCGTACTTGGGACTTTACGTTTGTACATATCATGTTGACGCTTGACGCACTATTGGAGGATATATTGCTAGTCCATTTAGTAAAAATGTTACTGGAAAATGTTCATTTATTTTAGCTTGTTTAAATACGAAAAAGAAATATAAACAAATAAGAATGTCAGGTCAATCTAATTTTAGGGTAATCCGCGTCTTTTGATGTGATAAACATCGCAGCCGGGATGAAAAAACATTAAACATCATTTACATCGCCTAAACCTATTTGCAGGCCAAGGTCGATTTTGAGCAGCTCCGCACTTAAATATTCATTAAAGTCTGAGGTCTATAAAATAAGATTTGACCGGCCATTACCTTACACATCAAAAAGTTAAGGTTCAACTTCTCAATGCTGAAAGGGAAACTTATTTCCTTGGCTTAAACAATTTATTGAAATGTAGAATGAAAAAAGACAGTGGGTTTAGTGGCACTCAGTATATGTTACGCGCCGTAGGTAATAGGAAAGCTTAGAAATAAAATAAAATCGCGTTTAGGTTAGCGCTATAGGTAGGTTAAGAGAGGTAAGGCATAGCGGGTTTTCCGCTCGAATAGGAGCGCTCGTATGGGGAAGTAACCTCCACTTTACAGAAAAATAACACTACCACTACAGTACTTGGTGGTAGTATGTTAGGTTCCAGGGCCGCACGGGGTAGGGGAGTGGATCAGGGTAGGAAATGTGCAAGTGATAATGTTGGTATCGCAAGCAGTTATAGGCTATGGTGGCCGTGGTATTACCATAAGGCGGGCCATATGCTTGTTTGCCACCCTTTACATAGGTACATAATACAGGTTATGAACTTTGTGGTATTAACTAGCCTGCTCGAGTACGTTACAATAGTTATTTGTCATGCAGGTTGCAAAGTTGCTTTCTGGCGCGAGTAATTGTATTGAAACCTGAACAAGAGAAGGATATAACAAGAGAATCCTAGTAAGGATTACAAGGAAATACAACTTTTCACCTAACTACAGCGAGCAAGGAAAATACTCGGTGCGAAAAAACAGCTTAAAAGAAGAGATTGATTCTTTATATATTTGTTTATTTTTTATATTGTTGTATCATAAAATATTTTTCACTTGCGTAATAATATTGTGATATCATCTTCGTTTATCCTAATTTAACTTACAGAGATTTTGATTACATATACACGATGATTTTAAAAATTGGGATATTATTACAAGAGCAGAAACTTAAATTTCAATATATATACGTACAGCTTGAGGCGCCAAGTGCGTTGATTTGGTCACCTATCTTCTGGCATCCGGTGTACTGTCGCTTTTTATCAGACACTACTATTATATATAGCTCTTTGTCGTTTCAAATTAAACTCTGATGTTTACGTACTCCGCTTTGGCAAGCATAATTATACTAGAGTGCTCTCATTTCAAGCAAGTGCATTGTTTACATTGCATGAACGACTATAATATGAAAAAAGATCGATATTATAATTTGTAAAAATAAATACTATTAGATACAGACTATTATAAGTATGTAGCAGGGCTTTGTAGTAACAAACATTAATATTTTTTTAATTACCTACGGTCCATTGAATATGTGAAAAAAACACAAATCTAATTTAATGTAAAATCACACAATGTAATTTAATAGATACGGCTGTTTATGTTGCGTACCTACAAATTTATACGGAACCCTCGGTGGGCGAGTCCAACTCGTACTACACCATTTTTATTAAAAAAAAAAGTTTTTGTCTCAAATCTATCTGTATTGTTCTACCTTCTAAGTTACATAGTAAGTTGTTACTAATTTCGTTAAAATTAATATTTTAGTTATCGTGAGGTGCCAGCGATGTATTTTTTGTTATTGTCAAATTTATTCATCTGCTTAATATTGTTGCAGACGGTGGTGGACGCATGACGACTCCTGCCTATATATGTTGTTCGATTATGTCTGTGGGGGTGAACTCTTCTCTTACTTAAGAAATGCGGGCAGGTTCAGCAACAGTATTGGTGAGTTATCTAAAATATTATGACCTGAAATAGTAGGCAATTGTTTTTATAGATTAACTAGCGGAATTTATTATTTATTGCATAATATAGTTTTCAATTTCAAACTTTATCGTTAGCGTTCGATGGTGTAGAAAAAAGATGATCATTTGGCCTCTCAACTTTATGAGCTTCGAACCTGGTTGTAGTCATTGAAGTCCGTCAGTGAATCATTCAAATATGCCCGGTTCACATTATTGCAGTTCAGTAACCCAGCGAAACAATCCAGTCCATTGCTGGACTGCATTATATCGTTCACATTATTCCAGTCATTTAGAAACTGTTCAACTGGCTGGAAGACTATAGTGACAAGGTTACAAAAACTCAGTTCGAAAATTTTCACTGTCAAACATTCAATCCAGTGCTGAAATGGCGTCTACACTTTCAAGTGGTTCTAAAACGGGTAAGCTGGACAGTGCAATGAAAATTTTCACAAAGTAAGGTACAGTTTTCTAATACGGAAGGCTAGGATGTCAAACTACCTGCGTTTGTCTTTCTTGACCGGTAAAAGTTGGATGTCTTTAATACGAGAGTAAGCAGCTATTTACTACTAGCCTAGCTAGCCTTTTTACTACTGTCTGTGCGTGGTGCGTGGTGCGTGCTCCATCTAAGTTCAATTATATTCCAACAGGCGAAATTGGAGACAAAAGCGCTTTAAGTAATCAGTAAATAAAGCCGTTGCTGAGTACAGATAATTTAACGATAGTTAAGTTAATTGTGAGGAGTTCCCGTAAATTGAATACGAAATTAGTGCAGCATGCATGCATCAATCATCCGGCCCTTTAAGAGAGCTTTGATATCATCACCGTGGCATAGGAAAAAACAGTGCTAACATCAGTGAATATTTAATCGGGCCTTATTGCTCTGTCGATATAATTATGATATTTAGGATAATCATAAAAGTAACACATTGTTATTTATTAAAAGATGTAAATAAATAAATTGGAGCGGGATAAATAAATAAGGTTTGGAAGTGCGCCAGCGCTTAGCGCTGTGCGGGCCGCGGCGTCTGTGGTCGCGCGCGGTGGTCATAGGTTTTGTAACAGCAATTTCACAGATTTTATCGCATTCACAGTGGTCTCAATAAATTAGATAACGTTCATGTGTTATCTTTAAACAAATACTCACAAATATAACGAACGCCAATATTTTGTAAAAGTATATTGGTTAACACATGAAAACTAAAAACATAACATTCACTTTTAAAAACGATTTATGTTTATGAAAATTTAATCGGTATGACACAAAAATTGTTGTGATACTTAGAGTCATTGCAAAAAATTTTTTGAAAGACCTCAATAATATTTAGTTACAGTTGATAGTGTTAACTTTGTTAAAAGTTTATCTCAAATTTCGTAATAACCCAAAAAATAAGTGTTTGAATAAATGTAATTTTGCATTAGAAACTTTTAGCGAAGCTAGTAATTGAAAGGATTAATGTTCTTTTAAAATTTAGAAAAATGCTGCAGTTACTGAGAAGTATGATTGGAATTAAGACTATATAGTTACATTTTGATATTGGACTAGATTGTGTAGGTACAATTAAAATAATAGACTTAATCTTATTTGAAATAATGCCAATTTCAGTGCTCTAAATCTCTCACTCCTTGTTAATACCGCATCCAGACTTGGCTGCGAACCTCTTCCTAGAACAAATAGTTTGTTTTTATGTAAATAAATAGTCATGGAAATAGATTTCGCAATCCATTTCAATGTAGGTTACTCACCACAAGACAGGTATTGCAGGTACATACATCAATGTAGTTCAATAACCACCAAAAGGCAGTAAAAATAATAAGTAAAATAAAAATTAAAGAGACCATACATGTAATAATATGTCGTTTGCTTAATTTTAGGCTCGTAAAAATTAAGCAAACGACTGTATCGTTCTCTATTGGGAATGAAAAGGAAAGACTGCTGTGAAATAGGTAAGTTCCAGCATTAAAATTTTACAGTGATACAGAGCCTCGTATTTGGTCGGTTTATTACTAATTGGCTCGGAAATGCTATATGCTAATGCTGCGGAAATGATCGGCTGTTTAAAAAGAGCTATATGTATCGTTCTGTATTGGGAATGAAAAGGAAAGACTGCTGTGAAATAGGTAAGTTCCAGCATTAAAATTTTATAGTGATACAGAGCCTCGTATTTGGTCGGTTTATTACTAATTGGCTCGGAAATGCTAGCTCATTTCATGTTCTTTTTGATTTTGTTCTTGCGCTAGGAATTATTTCCATCTTCAATTAGTTTTACAAGGATTGAATGAATGGAATTTAATACAAGTGAAGTTAGCTAATGCGGTAGAAATGAGTGCACCGGCCGCACCAGTCACTTTTATCCTGGTGTTTTACTTAATTTATTACCCATGCAGAACGTATACATAAATGTATACACACGCATACTTCAATAGATCACAGAATAGTGTTTTTCAGAAGGGAATTTTCCACCACTATTTAGTTTACTGTTCCCTTAGTAAAGTTTCCAGAGCAACATAATGTAATAAAGTATGGGGTCAGGGCAGGCAACACACGAGTGATACTCCGGTACTCAGATTATAATCTGAGCTCCGGTATCTATTGAAAGCGTCCACCAGGCGGGCCACATATACGATACACACATCTTCACGCCGTGTCCCAAACGGGGTATGCAGAGAGAACAGTATCCCAAACACGACAACCGAGCGAGAAAGTAATCGTATCGTTATTTCAAAGTTTCTATGCAAAAAAGATAAATTTAAAAAAGCCAAAAAAATCTCGACTGCTTGAATATTACTTCAAATAAATAAGTTTCTACATTTAATAGTTTCTTTTAAATAAATGTAGGGAACATTATCGAAGGTGCCAGATTCCCTACAATGTCATTTCGACAAATATTTAAAAAAAGTTAAATTAAAAAATTATAAATTCCCGACTGCTTAAATATTACTTGAAATAAAAACTGAAAAGAAAACAACAAGTCCAGTAGTCTATAATTCTGTAAAGGAAAGAAGCTACTTTGACAGTCGGGACCCATTAGATATTCGAGAATGGATAATTTTATTTCAATAATGGGTCCAGACTGTTAAAGTAGCTTAGTCTCTTACTTTAAAGAATTATAGGCTACTGGACTTGTTTTTTACTTTTCAGTTTTTATTTGAAGTAATATTTAAACATTCAATAAGTTTTATTATTTTTAAATTTAACTTTTTTTTATAAAAAAATAGCGGCTACTCGAATTGGTAACGTTCCATCGAGCACCTATGTATAAACTAGTTAGAATGATTTCAATCGTTCTGCTCAATTTAATACGCTCTTGCTAGCCGATGCGGTTCAAAATAGACGCATGACGCGGGAGCCAACTGTCGCAGCTAACTCGTTAAATAGTTACAACGATACAAGCTGACACTTTTTAAAGACATGCATATGATTTCTGCGAATAACTTATGTGACATTGCGAAAGTGATTTCGAAGAAAAACTACCTTTAACACAGTGGAGTAAAACATTTGTGGTCAGTCATCGCAACCTCTTTTTAGAGAATAGTACGATTAAATAGGTACTAACCACACTGGATGAAACGTTATTTTTACGTAGCCACAGAAATCTTTCGTAAGTTCGCGTCCGTTTTTATGAGAATTTAGTGTGCCTCAAGGGTGTCGAAACGGTCGTGTATTTTACATAGGTACATGCTTGTACAACGCACCGTGCGCGTGTGCAGCGTCTCGGATCGGCGCAGACAACGTGACGCCAACGCGGCTCCGCGAGATCACTTTGTTTACGTCTCATTAGAGTTCCTACCCTGAGTTAATGCAAATATGTCATTACTTTATACCGGTTGACAAACATCACCTCTTTTGGCTTTAATCAAATAACACTTTTTTTAATCAGTGTAGGCGCAATGTAAAACATTATTATAGTTACAAACTTTTTTTTTTTAATATTTGAAAATATAGTTTGGTTTTGTCTGCCGCTTACCCCGTTGGCACATCGGCGCTGAGTTTGTGTAAACAATTTTTTCGTGCCAATCTAGCAGCACTAGTCAAGTAAAGTTTCTGACGCCTCAAACTGGAACTACTGTATCAATGTAGCTCTGTGATTGTACGCATATTTTCTCTATATCACACACATCGTATAATTGTTTGACCAGCTATGTAAGGGACTTTACTTTTCTTAATATGATGCCGCCATACCATCCTACCGACACGAATTAAATTCTATAAAAACTGTTTGTTATTAAAAATAAAGACGTAGGTAGTAAATTAAAATCCATGAATCGATAAATATATACGAGTATCATTGTCTGATGGTAAAAACAATGCAAGTATGTTGATTTGCGAAAAAAAATTGGTGGTAGTCCTTGTTACATGTACAATAAATTCCGTTATATCAACATCTATATTTGAGTGTAAAAATATAAAAATAAATAAATATACGTATTTGCCTATCACCAAGTGACAAAATTGATGCCCGCGCATAACTTGACAATCTCATGGTCATGGTCAACCGACAACAATGCAGGGCGTTTAGCCAACATGACCTTATTAGACCTGCCGCTTAGAATCTACGGAGGCGGTTGGAAGCTCCTTGCCATGATGTCATTCCATTGATGACGTGGCCATTAAAAGTCTGATTTCCGTCTAATGGGTTTCGCCCACAGCCATTTGATTTCTAAAAAAGTTACAGCAATAATGAAGTCTTTGACCTTTACATTTTGACTAGGCATGAGTCATTTATCCACCGAAGAGAAGAGATGTGGCTTTAAAAAACTATTATGCTACTTAAGTGTTGATGAAATTTATTTGTTTATTATTCATTGTTTACAGAACTGTTCTAAAACACTCCCAATAGTGATTATATCTCCGCCGTCATACAAGGATTACTTGTGTTAAATGAACAGATAATTTTCTTCACGTTTTACGACATGTTTGATGATGATTATGTTATTATTAACATGTGTAGCATCAAAAGGTTTTTTCTTTGAACTTTTTAC